TCTTCTCCTTTCTTTTGCTCCATCTTCTTTCTTCTTCTTTCTTCTTCTGCATCTTCTTTCTTTCTTCTTATTTTTCCTTCTTTCCTTCGTTTTGCTTCTATTTCGTCCTTCCTTCGTCCTTCCTTGACCTTGTTCTAGATTTTATTAATTCTTCTTCTTCTTCCTTCTACCTCCTATACTCCTCCTCCCCCTCCTGTTCTCCTCCTCCTCCTCCCTCCTGCTCCTCCTCCTCCTCCCCTCCTGCCTTCTCCTCCTCCCCCTCCTGCTCCTCCTCCTCCTCCTCCCTGCTCCTCCCCCTGCTCCTCCTCCTGCTCCTCCTCCTGCTCCTCCCTCCGCTCCTCCCTCCTCCCTCCCTCCTCAAACAAACACTCACACACACATCATTACGTCCCCCATCGTGTTACTCGTCCATTAAGACAACAACTTGGAGATACACACACACACACACACACACACACACACTCAAGACAGACACAGACACAAGACACATACAGTAAGACTTTCTCAGATGGACAACCAAACCAAACCTAACCAAACCAAACCTAACCAAACCAAACCTAACCTGATCTAACCTAAGCTAGCCAGACAGGCAGAGACAGACAGACAGACAGACAGAGACAGACAGACAGGGCGCCATACCAAGAGCACAAATGGTACAAGACCTGGGGAAAACGCTTTTGACTCGGTGAATGTGTTGACAGAGCCGAGGAGGAGGAAGGGGAGAGGGAACAAGAAGAGGAGGAGGAAGGGAAGGAGGAGAAAGAGAGGAAGTGCAGGAAGGAAGAAGAGAGGAGGAGGAGTAGGAGGAGGAAGAAGAGGAGAGGAAGAAGAGGAGAGGAGGAGGAGGAGGGTGAAGTGTACCAGCAAGCTATGATATTTTACCAGGCCTCATATCGTTGTTGTATCCACACAGGTAATGTGGACCAACATCTGTGACCTGTCTTGATAGTCCTTCATACCTCACCCTCTCCTTCTCTCTTCCTCTCTCTCTCTCTCTCTCTCTCCCTTCATTCTTTTTCTTCCTCTCTCTCTTCCTCTTCCTCTCTTCCTCTTTCTCTTCCTTTCTTCCGGTCCACGATCTCTTCCTTGCTTCCTTCGGCTTGTCTCTTATTCTTTTTGATTCCTTCGTCTCCTCTATTTTTTCTTCGTTGCCTCATTCCTCTTCCTCCTCCTCCTTTTATTCTTGCAAGACTCATTCCCATCCTCCCTCCTCTCCTATCCTCTTCTCCTCGCTTGCTTCCTCCCCTCACCCACCTCCATCCCCCCTACTCTCTCTCTCTCTCCTCCTCCTACCCTCTCCTCCTCTCCTCTCCTCCTCCTACCCTCTCCTCCCTCTCTCTCTCTCTCTCCTCCCTCCCACCCTCTCTCCTCCTCTCTCTCTCCTCCCTCCTACCCTCTCCTCCTCTCTCTCTCCTCCCTCCTACCCTCTCCTCCTCTCTCTCTCCTCCCTCCTACCCTCTCCTCCTCCTTCCTACCCTCTCCTCCTCCTTTCTCTCTCTCTCCTCCAAGATTATCACCAGATTAAAGTATCAACACACACCATTAAGGCGTACATGAGGGCGCCTCTTCCCAGACAATGTTGGCGCTGTTCCCTCGATGCCATTAAAAAAGACGCCATTAAAAGAAGCGGGAAACATAAGAGAGTCGCGCCTGTAAACAAAACGTATTTCAAAACTATTCCTGCAGACGAAATTTTGCACCTGTAATCCTTTATAATGGTGGTGTTACAGGTGCGTGGAGGCTCGACAGTGTTATAGTCGAGGTGTCTTATGGAAGTTATGGTAATGGTGGTTGTAGTTGTGGGGGTGGGGGTGGTGGTTGTGATGATAGTGGGTGGGAGTGATAGTTACGGTGGGGATGATTGTAAGAGGATGGTGGTGGTGGTGGTGGTTGTGGTAGTGGATGGTGGTGGTGGTGGTGGTTGAGATGGTTGTAGTAGTGGCTGTGATGATTTTTACTTCCTATAAATTCTTGAGAAAATTAATCAAAAAATAATAAAATGTCTTCATCACATGGAAATGAATAACACACACACACACACACACACACACACACACACACACACACACACACACACACACACACACACCAGGAATGACTCGTCCACACAACTTTACCTTAAGTCTACAGAACTTTCAATCCATTCTCTCTCACACAAATGGCTGGGAGTTTAAGCGTGAGACAATGTAGTTAAGGTGAGGAAAAGGTATGGGGTTAGGTTAGGTTAGGTAGTGAAGATGTTGGTTTTATTACCTGCATGTTGAGAGGCTGTTATGGTTGGAAGGAATCTTGCCTTCTGTTGTAACCCGGAATGTAACTTAAGACTAAACTAACTTTAATCTAACTTAACCCAAATTGAACTAACTTAACCTAACCTAAACCTTTGCTAAATCGGATACTTGCCGTTACCGATCTTACTTCCTATCCCGCAAGTGAGTTCTTTGATAAATTGGATACCCGATACGCCCGATTTCACTTCCTCTCTCAAATTCACGGCATAAAAATTCACACCACCAAACCCACTACTTTTTTTTTAAGTCTAATTCTTTTTAACTGTGAGGATTTTATGCCATTGAAAAAGTTGGAAAAAGACGAGAGGGTAATTTAATTTTCCTTTGCCATTGTGACTTTTCCTTTTTCCGCTAAATCGTAAATTTGGGGTAAAGAGAGAGGATGTATGTAGATGGAGACAGAGACAGAGGAAGAGACCGAGAAGAAAGGAAGGAGAGAGAGAGAGGGGCAGACAGGCAAAGACAGACATACATACTGCGATAGACAGAGAGATAAATAGGCACACAGAGAGGTATGGGTCGTGAGGTGGGAGAGGCGACACAGGTAGGCAAGATAGTTGTGCTGTCAGGTGGTAATTGGTAATCAAGAGTGAATTACCTGTCAGATAGTGTAGGGAGGACCTGAAGTGGTGAGAGGGACGACCTGTTAGTGAGGGGGACGACCTGCTAGTGAGAGGGACGACCTGCTAGTGAGGCGTGTGTGTGTGTCTGTCTTGTCTGTGTACACTTTTTTAAACATTAATAAGTTGACCTTTACGAAATAATCATTGCTGATCGACTTACCCCTCACGTGACCACTGAAGTAGATCGATCAGAGGTCAAAGGTCAACTGAGAAGACCTCTCTCTCTCTCTCTCTCTCTCTCTCTCTCGTCCCCTCACCCACGACCCGGCTTACCCTCCCCACCTCACCGATCCCTTATAATTAAACGCAAGATCTTCTTAATACCTGTACGCTGAGTCGCCCGATAATGGAAGGTGAAATA